GGGGGGTGCTCGGCCCCCCACCCCACCCCACCCCAGTGCCTGCAGGGCTGAGCTGGGGGATGTGCTGCCCCTTCCGTGCTGCGTGTGGGCACGAGAGGGGGGGCAGAGGGCTGGCCACGTCTCCCACCCCAGGGCAGCAGGGTATGGGGCAGAGAGGGGGCAGCAATCCCTATAGCGCGGTAGTGGGGAAGGGGGTCCCTCATTTCAGCTGCCCTTTCCTCCAGGGGCTCCCTGTCCTGGTCCCAAGCTGTCCCCTGCATCTCCCATTCCCCCACGTTACATGGAGGGCCCATCCCCGTGAGACTGGTCCTTACCTGTGGCCTTCTCCTGCCCCCACAATTTCTCAGCACCGTCTTCTCTCGCCTCCCTCGGCGCTGTCTCCAGCGCCGCGAGCATCCTCCTGGCGAGCATCCTCCCGGCACCGAGCTCCAGGCTGGACCAGCCGGCAAGCATCTGCTCTGCCTGCATCCTCCCAGTCCCGAGCTCAGGGCTGGACCAGGCTGCGAACGTCCTCCCAGCAAGCATCCTCCCAGTGCCGAGCTCTGGGCTGGACCGGACGGCAAGCATCCAGCCAGCTTAGCCAGCCCAGCTGTGCCTATGCCGGTTCCCATCCTCCCATCGGCCAGCACAGTCTTGTCACGGCCATGGCAAGCTGCCTCCAGACACCATGATTTTCTCCTAAATAACACCAGCCCTTTAGAGGCTTGTTTATCCCCCAAGTTGCATCATTGTAACAGCAATTGGCTTAGGAAGCCGCCTTTTGTTAAAGCTCTGCAAAACCTTCTGGGGACACCCTGATTTTGGCCAAGTCAGTGCTGGCAATGTATTAATTTAAGCTCATTTGCTGCCATCTGGTTGTATGCTGAAATGAGGTTCTCCATGTGGGCTTTCACACCACCGTGCCACATCATGAGCACAAGCTGGCATGTAGATGACATCTGAGCTCGAGTTTGGTACCTGGATGAACATGTTGGCGTGGCTGAAGCGTGGGAGCTTTGTGGTTTTGGCACTACTTGTGCTCAAGAGGAGGTGGAAAATTGGTGGCTTTGTAGCTCTGATGCTCTGCGAGTTGCTGACATCCATGCCCGTGCTCTCAAGGGCACTACAACGCTCTGCTTCCTGCATAACGTCTCAGGACAGTGCTGATCTCTGTCCCAGGACTGATCTCTGGGGACTTCCTGGAGATTTGTCACAGAGCTATGAGTAAAGCTGGCTCGTGCAGTCCCTCTGGAGCCCATGGGTGCTCAGATGACTTTCCAGCTTCGACGCAGGCTCTTCCTGCCTCATCTGCTGCACCAGAGCTGAGCTAAGTGTCATGGTTTCCTGGGTTTACGGACCTGCCAGCCATGCCAGGCTTTAACATCTCCCCAGGGCTGTTGTACCCTCTCAGCACACATCTGACCCAAGCACAGTTTCTGGTTGCCCGTGGTCAGAGCATTTGGGAAGCTCAGAAGCATTGCTGCCGGCTGCAAGGGCTGATTGAGCTCCACTCGGCAGTGTAGGGCAGCCCTTGTCTTGGGAACATGGGCACGAGGCATGTGGGCTTTCTGCAGCCTCCTGCTGCTCAGGCCCGACAGACAAGGCACTGACAGCTGCTCTCTGGCAGATGCAGAGGTGGTGGTGCTGGTCGGCTGTGAGCAAGGACAGAGGAACGCTGCGATATGAATGGATGGACCTTTGCTTGTGTCCGAGTCAGGCCTCTGGCAGCAATGGCTGGCTGTAATTATTAGACGTGATATCCCTGTTCCGATCTCAGTTTCCAAAAGGGAAGACATGAGGAGATTTGGTTTTTGGAGGAGGCAGGATTGCCTTGCTTGGAGGTTATCCAGAGCCTACGTCAATGGCTGGAGGGTAGCAGGGAGCATCCAAACTGACAGGTTCCCAAGACACCAGTGTGGGATTAATGGATAGAGTAGGCTTTTTAGGGTGGCCAGATCAGCCATGGCTTGGCAGACCTGGGCTTAAATGAGGGGGCCAGCTCCTTGCAGGGCTCAGTCCAGCGGTGTCTCAGTGCTCACCAGCAGTGGAATTGCAGATGCTGGGTAACTGAACCAGCTGGAGAATTGGGATCCTGCCTCTTGTTGGTCTTCTCAGAAGGTGCCTGGAGAAAAAAGCACTGAGCCTTCCTTCACCTTGAAAACCTCCCTGTGTCCTACCTGCAACCGTTTTTTTGTAAGCCTTGCCCTTTCTGGCAGCTCCCATTGGAGTATGGAGTGATGGGGACAGGGCTGAGGACAGTGGTGTGAGGAGGATGTGGCAGAGCGCGTGTGAGCTGGGAGGGCGGCAGGGTTGTGCTGTGCTGGGTGGGGACATCGTGGCCATACGTCATCCCCAGGAAGGAGTCCGGTACCGTATTAGAGGTGGGAATCCACACCAAAGCCGGGGGAGGCAGCCCTGGAACCTCAGAGGATGCTTAACCCAGACCAAGACCCGCCTGGAAATGCTCGAGGATGTCTCTGCTCTTTGGGGACAGGGAGCGACTTCAGTGTGAGTGTCGGACCACTGCCTGGGAGGTGCCATTTAACGTTCTCCAGCAAAGCAGAAAAATACTGGATTCTTTAGTGAACCTTGAAGCCTTCTTTTACAATTAATTTCTTACTAAACAATGCTTTGGTGTGTCTGAGGCTTCCCAGATAGCTCCCAAAAGTGAGTTGGGAGGTCTCTGGGCCATTATCTTGAAGGGGAGTATATTGGATCCTTAGCCCAGCTTTTCTTCCAAGAGTAGCATTAAATGCAATAACAAATCCCCACTTTACAGATATGCTCTCTGTGAAATGCAGAGCGCCAAGGGGGAGGAAAGTGTCTGTAAGCTGTGACCAAGGATAAGGGCTCTGACGTGGACTCTGCGCGTGGGTCCAAGCTCTGGCTGGGCTCCTGAGGAACGTGGCTGGGAGTTTTCAGTGCTTGAAGGGCTGCTCCGCCTGCAAATGATGCCAAAAGGCTTGGAGGTGGGTGTGCGTGTGGGTGCGCACATGGGTGTGCTTGCACGAGTTGGCATTTGGGAGGAAGGAAGGGAAAAAATCACATGAAACAACTGCGGTGTTGAGGTGCAGGTCTGCATGTGGGCACTTCTGGAGTGGTAGTTGTGAAAAATGATTCAAGGCTCTTGCTAGAGAAGTTGTGTTGATATAATTGGATTTTAATCCTGCTTGTGCTGTGGTCAAGCAGGTTGAAATCCTTGTGAGGATGTGGTAGAGCCATCAGTTTAACTTGTACTGTGAGGCTACCTGAAGGAATGAAGTGGATTTTCATCCTGCTTTTTGTGTAAAGCTGTGCTTGGAGTGCTTCCCAGCCCTGCTTCCCTATCTGATCTGCGATACTGGAAGTGTGGCGATTTCCATCCTACAAGTGGGAGATGGAGGGATCCAGCTCCCATAACCAAGCTGGGTGTCAAAATCTCCCCAAAAGATGGGGCAAAAAAGTCACTGGCTAGGAGGAGACTGATCTTGTGTCCTCCAAGTCCTGCTAAAGGACACCCCTGCTTTCCTCAGTATTCATCCTGGTATCTTAAATCAGCTCACAGGGGTAGCTTTCTATAGCGCTGTAATCCTACAGGACTGTCAAGGCTGGAATTTGTCTGAAATGCAGATTTTTCAGCTCGTTTTTGAATTTCTTCCATACTTCTCTTAGCAAGTGTAAGGATGTACAGTCTGGGTGGCTGCTTTTAATTGCATCAAAAAAAAAAAAAATCAAAGCAAGTGGCAGAGGAGAGCTCTCTTCCCTCTTGATCCTGCCTGTGGCAACCAGTCTCCAGGAGAGGGCAGTTCCCAGGCTGGAGACACTAAGGCTGGAGCGGGTGCTGCTGTGTGATGCCTCTCATTGCAGCCTTTAACAGCCGGCATAGCTGCGTGACGAGCGGTCTGCAGGCCGGGAAGCAGCCGTGCGGAGCCCGTGCTGCTGCATGCCGGGGAGGTTGCTGTGCCCTGAGATGCTGGCGGCGCGTGGCCGATTTCTTTAAATAGCGATTATTGTGCTGTGGGGATGCGCGGTGGAGACGGATGCTCTTGCCGCCTGGCCTCTCTTTTCCAGCCTCCCCGAGGGGAGAGGATCCATTGCTAGGGCAGCATCACACAGCTTGGAGGGGAAGGGACCCCTCCTCCCTAATTGTTGCCCATCCGCCTGACTTACTGCTTATCTGAAGCTCTGTTTTCTGTCCTTTCCGAGTGGAAATGAATTGTCTCCATAATTACAGATGGTTTTTACCTCCTCTGCAAGCATAATTCAAGATGCAGCTAATGCGCTGGGACAGAATAAATGCACTGCTGCAGGGCTGATGGCCTCCTGGTGCCCCAGGGGTTTTTGGCTGGCAAAGAGGCTCGTTTGCTAGCCGAGAGGTAAGAGGCGGGCTGGGCGTTAGATGGTGAGAGCCTGGGGAAGGGGGGATGCTCGGGAACGTTGCCAGCCCCGGCACTCACCTTTGCGGGAGTCTCGTTCGTGCAGTGCATCCCTGAACAGATCAGCTCCTGCCAGGGCCTGTCTTTTCTGGCTTCCAAAATCAGCAAGAGTGTTTATGCTCTTGCTAAGGCATTAACACAGGTACCATAAACTTGATCTAAAGCTCTTAATCGTGAATAAAAGGGCTTATTGGTGATGCCTAGTACCATTCTCCATGCAAGGGTGCCAGGGGCTGCATAGACAGTGAGGGAAAGGATGAACTCTTTTGCAAAGTTTACAGCCTCAGTAATCCAGTTAATCTTCCCTGTAATCCAGTGCCTAGCAGCTGTACTAACTAGAACTCAGCCTCTTTCGAGCATCCCCCGCCAAAACTGTCATGTAGGAAGCAGTCAAAAAAGGTCCAGAGGTTATTTTTAGCTGTGGCTGGTTTATTCACATGCTGATCAGCCAGGAGAGGAAATTGTTCTGGTCCCAAACTGTCCCAAATATGCACAAGTCCCTTGCAAGAGTGTGATTTCTCAGGATGAGGTTGTGAGATCGTGTTCTGATTTTGGAGAGTTAGTGCTCATGAAGAGCCTTGATTGCTTACTGTCTTATGAGTCCACCCAGGGGGCTCGAATCAGGTCAGAATCCCCCCAGTCAGGGCGTATAGGCTCTGCACCCTCCTGTTCACAGTCCCTTTTGGGCACAGCCTTGAGCCTCGTGTCCCTGGAGTAGCAGAAATGATCATGCCTTGAAATCACTGCTCCATCAATGGGTGCGTCCAGCTGGACGCAGGTGGTGGGTCTGCAGAGTAGACCTGGATTTGGGGAGGACCCTGCATAATTTCAAGGCTCTTTCTGGCAGAGCATCATTTCAAGGCTTGGGAAGTGCCGCTGGGCTTGGCCAGCTCTCCACGGGATGAGATAGCTGTGTCGACGCTGAATATCTTCTCACCATGTTTGCTTTCCCTAGAGTGCTGTGAAGCCCATCTCAGCACCAGACAGCCGTGCCCCCTTTCCCATCTTCTGCAGCTCCTGTGCTGTCGGGAAAGGGTGTTGGGAACAAAGTGTGAGAGTGGCACGGCTGGATCCTGCTTTTCTCCTGTGTCTGCATGCAATAGTGTTTCCGTGGAGCTTCCCGAGCTTGCTGCCGCTGGTTTCCATCCAGGGCTGATGGGTGTCAGTGAGGAGGGGAGGCATCACCAGGGCTTGGCAGCAAGGCTGGAAAACTCCAGGGTAAATCCAGCACTGGAAGCACCACTCTGCTGGATGCACCTTTGCCGTCCTGCCATGCCAGTGATGTATTTCCCATCCCAGCTGAGCATGGCATCACTGTTGGCTGCATCCCCCCGCAGAGGTGCCTAGCACGGCAGTCGTGGTGAGGATCCCCTCCTGGTGCTACCTTCCTGGCCACAGTGGGACCGGGGGGAGGCAGCGGGGGTGATATCCAACCACAGATGGATGGGTGGCACAAACAAAGGGGGACCTGATGCCCACATCTTTGTCTGCACCCCTGCTTCTGTG